TTACACCTTGATGACTTCAAAATGTTTGATCGAATCAAGTTTTAATGTGCACAATTTCATTTATCATTTAAGGCTTTTAACGACTGATCTTGTAAAAACATTGATCAAATTGTCACATGACACATGTGATATGCACCTGATTCGAAGTATACAAGTTGTTGCTGGGTTTAACCTGCTTTGGGTGCAAGTACATCAATCGTTGGTGTTTAATGCTAAAACACCTTTTACACGCAGTGATAAAACTGGTCAAGCCATTAACATGTTGATGGAACTATGTTGGCGTTGAACGTGTTCCATCAACTGCACAGAGGTGAGTTAGTGTATTGATGAGTGGGGAAGGCGCGAAGCGATATAGGTCTCAGAGTGTACCAGTGGTTTTTGTTTGTTTTCTGCCGCACTCCGCAATATTCCTGCTATAGTAAGGCTGTTTGTAAATAATCCAGCCTTGACCAGACAATCCCAGTGATCAACAGCATGAGCACCGAACGTTCACTAAGACGCATCCATGCTTTGTTGGAGCAACAGGCTGCCACGCACCAGTGCATTGTCACGGTGCCACAGCACAATCAGTGTGGGTCCCACGAGCTTTTTGCCTTGATATCATGAGGCATGTGCCTCAGGAGATAAGTATGATAATGACTGCTGTTTTGTTCTACTTTGACTGTTATTTTGTTCTGTTGTCACTATTGTTTTGCTTTAACTGTTGTTTTGTTCTGATGTGCCTATTAGAATGCTCTGCTTTAACTGTTGTTTTGTTCTGTTGTCACTGTTGTTTTGCTGTAACTGTCAAATCTTGTTTTCCTCACAATGTCTGCATTGAAAACTGAAAAAGTGAACGCCATCAAACATAAATCTCCCAATGAGAAAGCTTAGGTTTATCCACTGTTATTGTATATTGAAAGAGATTTATGTATTCGTTAGCCAACGCATATAATATACATTTTGAACTTAAGAAATACAGTTCGCTCTGCCATTATGTATAGTGTAATAAAGCACACTTTCGCTCTGAAGTATTATAACGTTAAAGCACTCGGACGCTTTAACGTTATAAGAGCGAACTGTATTTCTTTTCTAAGATGCCAATTTAATACTTTCTAAGGATAATTACGATTAATCTAAGGCAGAAACAAACGACGGTGTCGTGACCTAAATTAAGAATCCTCGCACAGGGCTAACTGGAGCGCTGTTCTATTGATGTGTCTGCCCCCTAAGTTAAGACGAACGTTACCAGAAAAAAAACAAATGAAAAACAGTTTGATGGCGGTTTACGTTCGGTTTAAATACCTTCTCTAAATTATTTTAATTACTTCTGCCATTAACGTAAACCATGTGGGGCAATTTGAACGTCACATTTCAACAACCAACATAAGTTTAGATCAGTACATCCAGATGAAGCTGAGTAGTCAAGCGACATTCCACGATTGCATTGTGGGAATGTAAACATTGAGAACGTTACCGTCTCGCCGAAAACGCGTGAGTCGAATTGAGACATTTAAAACGTCGGAAAACATAAACGCAATGTTTCCATCAGTGATGTTAGCTGCGTGAAGCAACTGCAAACCAAGAATCGAGATGCAATGGAGTAGTTTACAGTAGGAGGCTGAACGAGGCGATAGCAACGGACATGCATCGTGACGTCGCTTACATTGTGTTCGATTACGAGGGGGCAGACTAGAATGGCATTACATTTGTGACGTAATGCTAAAAGTGCACATTATCGTCTGATAAAGTACTGTCGGCGCCCTTGATCTTTCACCGAAGCATCTTAGAAATGCGAATATATGTCAATTTAGGGACGGTTGTACCCAATAACTGAGTGGCAGTTTAGACGAACTCTAACTACACAGGGGGTAAACTCTACCGGAAGTTGGCCGTCATCACCTACCATGTCCCCGATAGACAGCAGATCCAGGCCGATGGTGACTTTCAACCTTCGTAAGATTTTGATATTTCCAAGCAGTAAATGTTTATGAAATCGACTTGTCTTCTAAACTGAATGGTCATGGATTAAACCGCCTATATTATTTGGTCATGACACATTATATTTTATTTACATTTGAAGCATTTCTTGATACGTCTTTCGGAGCGAATCGGAAAAGCTGAGAAATCGACCACTTTCGACGTCTTTACAACATTATCAATTGAATGCATTTCACGTATTGTACATTTTTGGGCTAAATGATGTAAATTAGCCGCTGTGTCAAAATTATAGATTCGGTCAATACATATATACAAGCTGCGATATTCACAAAAACAACAACTGAACGTGCCGATTGTAGTTCCTTCATCACTGTCCAGGTTGGTGGTTTCTTCACACAGAAAACTGTGTTGGTAGTTGCAACTATCGTATACTGATTCGTTCCCTTTTCCTCTATTGTAGGTCACTATTACAACGAAAGGATATACTGAGATGATCTGTTCGTTTGTTCTCAATCATGGGAGGAAGTTTCCATTGTTGTTATTGCGCAGAGAAATCAGACTTTTAGAACATTATTAAACA